GATAGACGATAATTCGTGAATACATGAATTAGGCCGAGAGTCTCGTGCTTCTTCTCTTTCGCCCTATAAGAGGGAAAAAATAAGGAATTATGCCATTCTCCCTATCTTGCTACAAATGGATGTTCTTCCAATTAGAATTTGGAAGACATTGTTGGTAAAAGAATGATTACAGCACTGCTGAATTTTCGCATTTCTTGCTTACTTTTTCTGGTATCGCTTTTCCATTACAGTATGTTGATAGGTGAAACAACCCCGGAAAACGTTTTTTACATAATTTACGTTCAAGTTACATTAAAACACAATTTTCGGAATTAAACTTACTACATATGGGTTCCCTCTTTTTTGATACTTCTAGTAAAATTATATTAGGAGATAATATAATCAATATTTCTTTAGTAAATAATTATTTTCTTACTTTACAAGTATTACAAGTATTAGAAGTATTAGAAAAACTTCTTTTCGAGCTAAGTGAATTTTAGATCATTCAACATATATATATATACACCGCATTTTATAATTTCATTACACAAAAGTTTTATACCTTAGAGAGTATATCTTTTCTATTAGATTTCGTATTGCTTGAATTTTGAGGGAAAAGGAAAGTCAAGATTTTTACGAATAAAAACGATAAAAAAATATACTTTCCTCCGTTCAGTGCTGTATCTCTTTACTTACGTGTGGGTGCGATTATGGTAAAGCCTCAAGGGCTATCTGCCTAAGGGGAGGGATGCCTTCGTGGAGGACTTTCTATGGGAAACTGGCTTGTATACACATTACATATGGGGAAAACCACAAAAACGCCAATGCAGCAACCCCGTTCGCGGGGTTCGAACCTCGGACCGAACTAACAGTGTTCAGTGAACTAACAGTTACCGCTCGGCCGCTGGTGGGCCTCTCTTTAATGATGAATTAACACCAATAGATAGGCTGTTTTCTCCCGAAGGTTCGGCCTTTCTGTAAACGATTAGGGGAAACCGGAAAAGCAATAAAATGATTTTTCACTCATGAATCGGCATCTTCAAGAAGCATGGACTCCCAGTGAGTGAAAGCGACCATCTGGTAAGATGTGTTTTAGCATAAAATGGTTTGCAAATCCAAATAACATTAATTTAGAGACATTTTTATGGATGCAATATGTAATTCTTAGATAAAAGCATAAAAGTAAGTAAAAGGGGGCAATGTAGGGTGTTTTTCGCTACTTTGAATTTTTAGAATAGGGCCCCAAACATATTACTGTCGACCCTGCCTAACTTTCTCGATAACCTACCAAGTTGCTAAATTTTGTACTCGGTAGCACGCGATATCTATCTTCTAAGATAGGAAATATTTCCACTTCCGGCGAACTTTCTAAGGAAAGCTTACATGCATTTAGGTTCATAGGTTACATGTTCTATGTATAACATGAGTAGAGAAAAATCATGAAAATTCCATGCAGCTGATCTATTCCTTTGCTGAAAATAGAAGCCTAGAATAAATTGATAGTGTTGTGTTGCTTCAGCGACTAGATTTCTCACTTTGATGTTGGAATTAGAAATATAATTACAAAGATCTCCACTAGAGGAGATCATAATTCATTATTTTTTCACACATATAAAATCTAGTTAAATATGTTCCCCTCGTTTATAAATTACAGAAGTTTTCTTTTTCAATAATTCCTGATATTATAAAGGAAAATTTTCTTTCTTTCTTTCTCATTTTTTTTTTTTTTTTTTTTTTTTTTTTCTTGTAGCAGGTTTAAATAGTCGTTGATTGAAACCACACTAATTTTACCTAACAATCGGAAAATGACACAAATGACGTGAACTCTTTCATAATTATATTACTCATTACCATTAAAAAAAACTTAACTTGGGTTGAAGATTACCTCAGAAGAGTTTTTTTTAATTTCTTAATTTAGATGCCATACAGTCTGGTAATACATATCTTATATAATACATAATAATAAATCTGGTTATACTACAGCCATATCAGTGGCCGATAAGACATCTAAATATTAGTTGTTCGATTTGGATTCAAACTCAGACAAACGAATGCGATGGCTGTGTGGTATTTTTCCATGTTTAACATGAGTATGAGCTATTCGTTAGAAAGTCCTCTATGAAGGCATCTTTCTACTTAAAAGCAGATAGTCCTCGTGTATTTTGCTGTATTCAAATAATCCTAGCCTTCAAACTACGACACCTATCACTCTAAATCAAGATGAAAGTTTTCTAAACAAGATTTTTTAATCGGGCTGTTGGGGTTCCAGTGCCAATTGCTAAAACCGCTGAATACTGGTAATTCGACATGGGTTCAAATCCGGATGAACGCGCTTGTTCTGTAAAAGTTTTCCAGGGTTTTTCTACGTTCAGTGTGAATGAGATCTAGTTTCCCTTAGAAATTCCCTCCATGATAGTTTCAGTCCTCTTGCGCAGATTCCAAATCCATTAAATTTTCTTTATTAAATACAATTATAATTCTTTCTTTTTAGAGAAGTCACAGGGAAAAAAACTGTAAACATCAAATCGAGTACGATTACGAATATTTTTAAATAGTTAAATTTTGAGCGGGAAAACTTTTTTAATACGTTCATAAGCAACTGATAATTAGGGGAAGAAAAACATTTTAAATTGGCATAAAACTTTGTCGATTTCTACAATAATCTATATAAATGCGTTTTCAAAAACTTCTGCTGAAATATGAAGAGTCTTATTTGTAAAGCATTTATTAGTAAGATCTGTAATTATATACTTAGCTTTTAGTTTTCATAACCTTCCAGTCATCAGAATAAAGTCATTAAGCGTAAGGGGGGGGACGAAAAAGGAATTTTAAAGAAAAGGTTATTTTTACAAAATGACTCAAAATTTCCTGAGCTAGTATAAGTAATTATGTAACTCAAATAATTAAATATTTGCGAAAATTTTGTTGACCTCTCTTCAGTCTTACCAATATTTCTGTATAGATATAGAACATAATTATTGAATAATGGGTATCATAGATAGTGGAGGATATAGAATGAGCATCACAGTATATAATTATGTTGTGTCGCAAAAGCGGCTGCTTTGATAAATGAACATAGCTGTCGGGAATCGCGCATGAATGTCACATACATGCTTTTATAATACCAAGAATGTTATAAAAATGACGGTTATTTGATATTAGCATTTACTGAACTTTTCAAAATGTTTAAAAATATAATATTTAAGAGTCGGCAAGTTTGTTTCAAAAATTGTATTTATTTCATTCATGGTGTTTGTTGCTATAATCAGAAGCTCGTCATTGATTTTTAGACTATTTCTTGATAAGCTACCGAGTTCAAATTTTGTACGTACACGGTTTACAAATGAAAACACGGTGTGCTAAACCGAGTTTTATAAAATTCAATTTAGAGGTCTTAAAATTAAATGTTGAAAATTTTTTTCGCATATTTCCATTTAAAAAGTAAACTAAAAATCTCAAAAATTTTAAGTTTGCATCATTTTACAGAGTGTAAAATAGCTTTTGAAATAGAATTTGCATAAAATTAGCATAATTTCAGATTTTGCATGAATTTTTAAAACTTAATTTTTTATGAGGTAAGAGGTTTTTGGAAGTAAGACTGAACCAAAAGGAGAAAAAAAAAAAAAAAATGCTGCACAGATTAATGGGAATAAGAGCCCCTTTGAAAAAATCTTGTACAGTTTTATAACAAGAAGAATAGCTTCTTAAATAACCAAATCAAATAATCGAATCACATTGTCAAAAGTATAAGATTTATAAATTTATCAAGAGAGCCTCACATTTTTTATTATTCGTGATATAAATTTGTAGAATTTTTTAAAAGAGAATTATTTAATCACGTGTTCCCAATAAATTATATAACACATTATTTTTTCATTTTAATTCATTAATAATTTTATGAGTCATAAATAAAAATTTATTTTATAAAAACTTGTTTATTTTGTTCAATACTTGTTCTAAAACGGAAATTCTTAATTCCTTTTATATATACATTCACTTTGTAACTGGTAATAAATTTGTTTCCTTAGAGTCAGTGTAAGGCCTTTATCTCAAAACATCAAGAAGACTTCTCCCCGCGCTAATGACAGCCATTACCCATTGTCATCAGGGGTTCGCGGACCCTTGTCTTCTTAGGCAATGGGGTTTGGAAGACGTACAAAAATACGGGCTAGACGTTTTTGGTGCAATTTTTTCGCTATTACAAAAACACGGGAAGATCCGTTTTTGAGGGTACATTTAAACTAACAATAATCCGTAACAAACCGTTAAGAGACCTGCATAAAAAAACGAGAAAATCCGGGTCAAACTGTTAATGGGTTAATGCAGACCTTTATTGTGAACAATTGGATCGAGTGAAACCAATCTTTAATCAAAAAATATCCGGCAAATGCCAACAAAAAAGGCATTATTCTGTAAGACATTATTCTGCACTGTGCAAGACAAACATTGGAAAAAATTGGGGTGGGAGGTACTGCCTCACCTACTATCATCGCCCGATATCGCACCCTTGGATTTCCATTTATTCCGATCCCTACAACATTTACTTAGTGGCAAAAAATTTGAAAATTTGGATGATGTTCAAAATGCCAAAATTTAGATATTTTACTCAAAAACCGATTGATTTTTATCAGTCCGGGTTTGAAAATCTGCACACTAAATGGTAAAAGGTTGTTGATAATGAAAGAGATTATATTATTAATTAAAAATAAAAACATGTTAAAAATTTATTTGTTTGAATTTAATGTAAGAAAGCGATTTACTTTCCGCCCCCCTATTATTTAAACATTCTGTATATATTTTAAACTTTAATTTTTACTTGGATTTTTTTTTAATTACTTGAAATTGATATCATGCTAAAATAATCTGGTAGCTTTTAATTCTGTATGTGATATTTATAAATTTTCAATATTGTTTATACAAATATCAAATTAGTTTTAAAGACTATTTTTCCTATCAGTGTATGAAAAGTTGCAGCATTCTAAATTAGTTAAACTATATATATGTTTTCATTTTCTTACCAGAAATTGAAAAGTTAAAACAACCTTCTTCAATGAATGACTGAATGGGAAAAACAGCAGGAACTAGAAGAATTTGCTAGAGCTGCCATGCTTTTTAAACCTTCGTCATCTGCATTATTAAGTTCAAAATTTGAATCAAAATCACATCTTAGCGTAGAGCATGAAGTAATGTCTGCTCTGAAAAAACTTAAGGTATAAAATCAAATTCTTTTAAAAATATTAACTTCCTTACATATTATTTCTTAACATTGATGGATTATATTAAAAATATGTTTTATATTGAATTAGGATAAACATAAGTTTTAAATACTAATGGTTGACTGAACTTTTTTTATCATTCTCGTGTAATATGTGTTATGATGAAAGCAGAAACCGTTATCTATGTTTTATTAGCAAAACAGTCAATTTTAAGTTAATGTCAATCCAATTCACAAATTGACAAAATAATAAATAAATACCTGAGAGGATTTGTGAAGGAAAAAATTGCATATATTTTATTTAATCTGGAACAATTATCACTCTATTTTCTATTTCAGCAGTTTAAATCTTTCACTCAAAGTGAATGTAGATCAGAATTATATTACATTCTGTTAGACTTTCAGTGTCATAAATTATTTGTCTGCTTCTGGAATTTGCTATGTACTTCATGTTAAACGCCACCATGTAATATTCAAAATGTTATTTTGAAATTTTTCAGATTGTATTTAGTTAAATAAATATTAAAAGCTAATGAAAAGTTTTTCTGAGCTAATGGAGACAACTAACGTAGCTGACCCGTCTCCAAAACCAGTTTTCCTCATAGGGCAGCAAGTTGAAAAATCTGAACTGCAGGCATAATGGAGTTAATCGACACATGGAACTGACTCTGTTAGTTCAGATAAACCCCAATTTGTATGGCCCTTAAAGAATAGAAAGTGTACATGGGATAGGGTCTTTTGGGGAAAAATCATTTCTGAAACTGTCACAATACCAGTAAGCTGCTATGGGGAATGCAACAGCTGAGAATAAACCACTCAGGTTTTGGTTTCTGTTGTTTACTCCTTCATGGCCGAGGGAAAATTTCTTTTTAATGTAATTATGTGGGTAGTTTACCATGCTCCACTTGATAGAAAGGAATAAAATATCGAAGTGCAGCATCTTCCAGGCATGCTTTCATAATTAGAATTAATAAAAAAGTATTGAAATATTGCCATGGTTATCTTTGAAGATTATTCTAATGACATTGATTTACTGTTTTAGAGTTGCTTCTTAGAGTTTGATTACAGCTTTACTCACATACCCTATTTCATTGAACACTATGTTATAAAAAATAGAAATGGTCATGTTCTTAATCACCTGATATCTTGCTGCTGTTTTAAAAAGGACTGGATGGATGAAAACTACCAGAAGAGAGGCATTTTGCTGATATTGTAGAAAAAAAATTCCAAGCCTTTTTCTTACATTAACATGTTGTAAAGGAATGTTTTGTTTTGTTTTTCTTTTCTTTTTACATGAACTTCCATACATTTTTCTGTAGGACTTATAGTATGCAACATAATCATAAAACAAGTAATTGTGCATCAATAACTTAAAGATAACAGGGTAAAAATATGAACAGAAGTTTTGAAAAAAAATTATTTATTAGATTTATTTTTATTTATTTTTTATTATTATTTGTATAATTTTTAGTTTTAAAAATATAAACAGGTTTTTCAGAAATAAAATCACAGTTCTGGAAAACAAAAGTACTGAATAACAACAGTTTGACTTTCATTGAAATGAACCCTGCACTTTATGCAATTTTTTAATATTTGGCATAAAGCTGCTTAATTAAATTTTTAAATCTTCTCATTCAAAAATATTCGATGTGTTTACTGTTTTTCAATCCAGTTTTGCATTTTTTTTAGCCCAAAGGGCGTTAGCCCAGAAGGGCTATTAATTTTGTTTTGGCATTTTGCATTGAAAACTTTAACTGTCGGTTAACTTTTCAGATTACTTCCCTGTGTTATATTTAAAGAAATTAAATAAGGAAGAATCTGCATAAATGTATGTATGTTTTTCGTAGTGTGATAAAACAACGGTATCTAGAGCCATCAAATTTTGAATAGCGTAATCCTCCTATCAATAACTTTAGTAACACTTCAACAAATTTTTTACTAGCTATTTCAACAAATGAGCAATGGCAAAACTGTAGGTGGGGAAAAACATTTTTATCTCCAGCACGAGACTGTGTATCAGAAATTCTAAAGATATGCTCATTTTAAAATTATTTTGCAATATTGCTGTTGAATTGAAATTTTATGGTTTAAGTGCAAAGAACATTTAATAAATAACGGTAATACACAAAAAGTTTTAAAAACTTCCCTTTAGACGTAATGTAAAATCTGAAGGGATTTCAGAATTTATTATTTTATTACATGTGTAATTATTCTTCTTCTTATTATTATTTGAGTGTGTGTTGCATTTCTATTTTTCTATATCGCACTTTTGCCTAAAATTTTTTTATATTTAAAAAAAAAGCACTATTGCTTTTTAGAATATGTTAAATAGCTTTAGTGCATTTTTTGCCTTATATTTATTTGATATGATTCAGCTGTTTATCAATAACAATAAATTATGAGTTTTATTTTTTTTAATCAGTTTTACCTTGAGTATGGTGGTTAATTGCATATTCAGTTATCAAACTCCACTCAACTACTTGATCAACATTCACCCCTTTTAAAATTTCATGTAATCAACCCACAGGGGGTCAATAATGTTTCATCGACTTGCAGAGAGTCAATAATGTCCTCGTAGAGTCCCAGTTAGAAAGTTTCCTTATGTACTAATACATTTTTGCTGAAGCTTGTGAAGATTCTGAAAGCATTATTATTCGCCATCTTTTGTAACAATCTGTTATACTTCCTTTGATGCTGCTTTTATCTCATTTTACACAAATCAGCATCCCTACAGATTCTATTCCATGAGCAGAAAAAGTAAAAATTGTATTCTACTAATTTGGGTAAACTGGTGGGCTATAGAAGCATCTTAATATAAATTTGGTGAGAAAAAATGTGACTATTATGAGTTATGGGAAAGCATGTTGTTATTCAAAATGTATCATTGTCCAATTTACTTTAACCTCAAAATTATTTGATCTAGGTAAACTCCCACAAATATCATAAAATTCTTAAATAATGCATCTTATACATTGTTCTGCCCCCAGTAATAAACTGTGAATGGATAGTATCATGGAAATCAGAAAATATCTCTAACATGATTTTCTTGCTTCTTTAGATTTTTAAAAAAAAAATTTTTGGTCAAGCTGAAGATGGTATTTCATGGCTTTAAAGTATCCATACTTTGGTTAAATGCAGAGCTTAAATTGCATCGAAGCCTATTGTTTTGATGCAATTTAAGCTCTTACCGGTACTTTGCAATTTGAGGTAAATTGTAATTCTAGCTGAAGCGCACCAAAGCCCTAAATAAAATTTGCAGCAGTACTTCTTTTATGTAAGCAAAACACAGTTTCAAAAGACAAATTTTATTTTAAAAATAAATATACCTTTAAAATCGATTTATAACTTTCAAATTCATGTCTGTCTTTAGAGGTTAAGACTTTGTAGAGGTTAAGACTTTTAAGGAAAGAAAAGCTCCCATGTGTCAAAGGCTCATTCTCCAGATAGTGCAATAAATTTATAAAATGGGGTAAAATGTTTTGTTCCCAAAAGTATTAACGATATTTACCCTGGTCTTCCATGTCCATTACTAGTGACCTCTCACTGCAGTGCTCCTGTAGACTTGAATTATATAACCAAATACAGCAGAGAAAAATTGTCACTTATCAGAATTGCATTTGTTCGCATGTTGTCATCGGATCAGATTCAGGTTAATTTTTTTTTTGCCTAGTCGCATTTGCTTGACAGCTAGAATTATATTGGCAGGGCTTCACAGTCAGGAAGCGTTGGACTCTTCTCTCTTTGTTTTCGAAGCTACAATTCTCCATTGAAGTTTCTTTTCATACTCACATATTTTTCCTAGCACTCTCTCTATTTTCATTAATGACATTTTAACTGTTTTACTTTTTTCCACTGGCATGCTGGAAAAAGAAGTCTTTTCTCCGCACCCATGGAAATCATACATTATACTGTATATTTTAAAGTCTAAATTCAGCAGG